GTGTGCGCGTGTGCGCGTGTGCGCGTGTGCGCGTGTGCGCGTGTGCGCGTGTGCGCGTGTGCGCGTGTGCGCGTGTGCGCGTGTTCGCGTGTGCGCGTGTGCGCGTGTGCGCGTGTGCGCGTGTGCGCGTGTGCGCGTGTGCGCGTGTGCGCGTGTGCGCGTCTGCGCGTCTGCGCGTCTGCGCGTCTGCGCGTGTGCGCGTGTGCGCGTGTGCGCGTGTGCGCGTGTGCGCGTGTGCGCGTGTGCGCGTGTGCGCGTGTGCGCGTGTGCGCGTGTGCGCGGGTGCGCGTGTGCGCGTGTGCGCGTGTGCGCGTGTGCGCGTGTGCGCGTGTGCGCGTGTGCGCGTGTGCGCGTGTGCGCGTGTGCGCGTGTGCGCGTGTGCGCGTGTGCGCGTGTGCGCGTGTGCGCGTGTGCGCGTGTGCGCGTGTGCGGGTGTGCGCGTGTGCGCGTGTGCGCGTGTGCGCGTGTGCGCGTGTGCGCGTGTGCGCGTGTGCGCGTGTGCGCGTGTGCGCGTGTGCACGTGTGCGCGTGTGCGCGTGTGCGCGCGTGTGCGCGTGTGCGCGTGTGCGCGCGTGTGCGCGCGCGTGTGTGCGCGTGTGTGCGCGTGTGTGCGCGTGTGTGTGGGTGTGTGTGTGTGGGTGTGTGTGGGTGTGGGTGTGTGTGGGTGTGTGTGTGTGGGGGTGTGTGTGGGGGTGCGTGGTGGGTGTTGTGTGGGGTTGTGTGTGAGGGTGTGTGTGGGTGTGGTGTGTGTGGGTGTGTGTGTGTGTGGGTGTGTGTGTGTGTTGGGTCTGTGTGTGGGTGTGGTGTTGTGGTGTGGGTGTGTGTTGTGTGGGTGTGTGTGTGTGTTGGGTGTGTGGGGTGTGGGTGTGTGTGGGTGTGTGTGTGCGGTGTGTGTGGGTGTGTGTGTGTGTGTGTGGTGGGTGTGGGTGGGTGTGGGTGGGTGTGGGTGGGTGTGGGTGTGTGGGTGTGGGTGTGTGTGTGTGTGTGGGTGTGGGTGTGGGTGTGGGTGTGGGTGTGGGTGTGGGTGTGGGTGTGTGTGTGTGTGTGTCTGTGTGTGTGTGTGGTGTGTGTGTGTGTGTGTTTCGGCCCGCTTTTCGTTTCGATGTCATTTCCCCCATCGCATTGTTCTTATTATCGAAGACGCCTACGGCGAATCACCGCCGCCCCCTGCCTTTTTGGAAGCGCCTGCGTGGCCGAAAGTTGGGTTTGAGCTTGGCCAAGCTATCGGGCCACGCGTTCCCCGAGTGGGTTTCGAAAGCCTTCGGGGAACACGGAGTCAGGCGAGTTATCGGACCAGGTAGTTTCCGAGCTTTCGGGCCTCCTGGAGGACGTCTTGGAGTGGTCTTGGGCCGTGTTGGAGGCCTCTGGCGGGCCTTTTGGGCAGTCGAAGGCCATCTTCAGGCCATCTGGGGCAGTCTTGGGTGCATCTTGGGGCCATCTTCGCTGTCTTGGAGGCCTTCTTGGCCGTCTTGGAGGTATCTTCGAGGCCATCTTGGCCGTCTTGGAGGCCATCTTGGGCGTTTTGGAGGCCTCTTGGGCTGTCTTGTGGTCTTGTTGGGGCCCTCTTGGGGGCGTCTTGGCCTGTCATGGGGCCATCTTGAAGGCCTCTTGGGCGCTCTTGGGGCGATGTTGGCGGCCTCTTGGGCCGTCATAGGCCGTCGGAGAGTTGTTAAGAAGAAAATGCCAAAATCCATCGAAAACCTTAGGATAATCAATGATGTTTTCCCTATCGTGCCTTCCTGGAGGACTTCTTGGAGGCCTCTTGGGGGCCTCTTGGCCAGTCTTAGGCAATCTTAGAGCCATCTTGGGCCGTCTTGGAGGCTTCTTGGACGAACTTGAACGCATCTTGGACTCTCTCGGGCCGTCTTGGAAGCCATCTTGGACCATCTTTGGCGACTTGAAGGCCATCTTGGGCCATCTTGGAGACCATCTTGGGCCAACGTGACCATCTTAGAAGCCATCTTGAGCCGCCTTGGAGGAAACATTGGGGAATTGAGCTCCGTCTTGAGGAGAATTGAATGAAAAATTGGAGGAAGAATTCGGGAAACCTTGGAGGAAAAATTGGGGGACTTGGAAAAAATGAGAATTTGCTGCGGTCGCTAAGGTGGTTTCGGGGCCTTCCTGGGACCCTGGCGCCCGGCCGACGCCCCAGGGGGAGTTCTCTTGGAAAAGGACGAGAACCCACATCGAAAGGCTCTAGCACGCTGGGCACCCCTGTGGCAAGCTAACAGGGGGCGGCGGATCGAAGACGCCTACGGCGAAGCCCCACCGCCCCCTGCCTTTTTGGAAGCGCCTATGTGGCCGAAGGTTGAGGCCAGACCTGCCAAGCTATCGGACAATGTGTTCCCCGAATCGGTTTGGAAAGCCTTCGGGGAACACGTGGGCATCTTGAAGGTCGTCTTGACCGTCTGGAGGCCATTTTGACCTTTCGGGCCTTCTTGGAGGACGTCTTGGTGGGCTCTTGGGCCGTCTTGGAGGCCGTCTTGAGCGTCTTGGAGGC